CCTCGACACCTGCCCGTGCCGGTGCCCCCTGCCGCTCGCCAAGCCGGAGCACGCCATCCGGGGATACGATCGCGCGCGCGACGCTGCACGAAAGTGCTTCTTCCACTTCTCCGCAGAGAGCGTGAGGAAGCTCAAGGCAGCGGCGAACTTCGGAGGTGCGCTTCGGCGAAGGCGGCGCGGACGCTGCCATGGTAGTCACCACCATCTCCTCCTATTGGCGCGCACCTCTGGCGGTCGGTGTCCCGAGCCCGGCGCCTAGAGCCGTCGCGAGGAGACCGCGACGTGTTCTCCTCATCGGGTGCCGGGGCGGGTGAAGGGCATCCGCCCGGCGGGGTACGTCGGCAACGCGGTGGTGCCACGCAAGGTAGCGTCGACCGCCCGGCGAGATCCAGGCCAAGGGGCTGGGCTGGACCATGGTGGCGGCTGAACCGCGCCGTGGTGTCGTTCGACGAGGCGGCCCTGGTCAGGAGTCGGTCAAGCGCTGGAGTGCGGGAGCGCTGGCTGGCGTACAACACGGACATGCTGAGCGTGGCAGCCGTCGGCACCGGGAGCTCGACGCGGTTCGACGTGTACGGCAACGACTTCGGCTGGGGGAAGCCGCCGCTCACCGTGCGGAGCGGCCCTGGAAACAAACTGGACGGCAAGACCTCCGTCTTTGAGGGCCGTGGCGGTGGCGGCGCAATGGCGCTGGAAGTGTGCCTCGCTCCCAACACGCTTGCGAGGCTCGTCGCCGACGGCGAGTTCATGGACGCGGTCACCGTGCCGTGACTGTGATCTCGCTGTCATCTCGTCGGGAACTCGGAATTGAGAGGCCTCGTGTTACCGGCTTACCGGCCGTGTCCTTTTACAAATAACGTCCAAGTGCAGGGTAGTGCACTCTATGCACTATTGTGCACGTGTTAAATGATCCTCTGATGCATTCATCTCGGATTTTTGTAAGCAAATCGTTCATTGAGAATAAAAGAGAACACAAGAAGTTTCTAAAAATGTGCCTGACTGGCATGACATGTAAGAATGATTACTTCACTTCGCTCTTTTCTAATTTGTGGAGAGCAGCCGCTAGCAATGGTGTTTGGTGTCACTGCCACGCTGAAGACGGCCGCAGCGGTTTTCTTGAAGCAGCGTTGGTAGACGTGTTCCCCCATCCCGGATGCTTGGGAAACTTTCGAGAATGATAATTTTTTTATGGATTTGGTCAAGTACTCAAGTTTGTATTTGTACAGTGACATCAGAATCTTTTTTATGCGAGATGCTGAAATTAATAGCGTGTTTGGATTGCACCCCCGATCCGAGCCTACATCCGATCCTACTAAGGCCCTGTTCGCTTCGTGGGGAATGACATCCATGAAGAATTCCCGGTTGGATCGGTACTTTCATTTATATTAGCTTTCCAGGGCTGAAATCGTTCCTGGCATCGAATCGGCTCAAACGAATGGAGCCTAAACTTTTTTTTTTGGACTGCGGCACTGTCGACGAAATTTGGTCGGCAGTCTACCGAGGTGTATACTCATGGTAGTAGATGAATCGGTGAAGGTGCGCGTGATACGAACCAGATGTTAACAGAGACACAAGACACAAGATTTATACAGGTTCAGGCTATGAGCTTGACGTAACACCCTACATCCTGTGCTCTGTACTTTTTATATTGATTGTGAATCAGATTCGATATATACCGTTTAGGGGACCCCTACCTCTCATTATATACTCTGGAGGGGTAGGGTTACAAGGAAAATATCATATTTTGTATTATACAATAAATCACATATTCATGTAGTCTTGCGGTGCACACCTTGATCTTGTGGGCTGGACCACCTTTGGTGGTGTGGCCCATGTCTTGTCTTGTGGATACCGGGGGTCATATCCCCCACAGCTAGTTCCCGAGTGCTATGTATCCGTTTGGCGACGCCGTATTGATCAAGTACAAGTAGTTTAACACGAAGTCGATCAGTTTTGCTGACGACCTAGACGGTGAAAATCGAAGTCAACCTGTTAAACTGGTGACCTGGGCGGTGAGAGTCGAAACCAACCTGTTAAACTGGTGACCTGGACGGTGAAAGTCGAAGCCGACCAGTTAAACCGATGACCTAAGCGGTGAAAGTCGAAGCCGACCAGTTTAACTGGTGAACTAGGCGGTGAAAGTCGAAGCCGACCAGTTTCACTAGTACGCAGATCTCGGACTTAGCCAAATAAGGCTCGTCGGAAAGATGTAAGGGGTTCAAGATAAAAATTTTAAAATTCTCCACCTTAGGTGAAGTGTAGCCACTTAGTCATCCATGATTTAGTCAAATAAGGAGGGTAAATCAAGAAACGAGCACTACATTCACCGCTTGGTGAAGCGTAGCCACTTAGTCCCCGAGTATGCTAGAAGATAAAGAATGAATCTTGTAGCAGGGTAAAAAAAATAAGCCTGAAAGCTTGCCAATGTCATCTGTCATGTGCGTATCAAAACCCCAGACGTGCTGTCCAAGATCAGCACCCTGATTCGAACAGCATGGAGCAAGCTGATAGCACACCGATGAGACATAGCAAGATCTGACCGCCAAGGGAGTCTCCAGCTTACCTAGCGACTCTTGTACAAAGAATCCGAACGCTGAGTCCCCAGCTTATTTGGCGATGAAGCGACGAACAATTCAAACGCCGAGGAGTCCCCAGCTTAGCTGACGAGCCCCCAGCGTAGCGGACGATGAAGCGACAAACAATCCAAACGCTGTGGAGTCCCCAGCTTAGCTGGCGAGCCCCAACGTAGCTGACGATGAAGTGATTGACAATCTGACCAGTTAGTTGGCGAAGAATCGAGCATCGAGCAGCCCAACCAACTAGTCGACAGTGAAGTGAGCGCCGAGTAGAAGTGAACGCCGAACAGTCTGACCAACTATTCAGTGATGAAGTCCATGAACCTAGCGGTCCAACCGATTGATCGACGGAGAAGTCCGAAGGCCAGGTGGTGCGACCACCCGGACGATGATCCTATAATAAATATGTAGAATGAGTAGTATATGATGTAAAAATAAATATATGAATTTGGCGATGAAGGCAGCACAACGGAATAGATAGACATTATGTTTGTATGAAGTGTTCATATTTTAAATATGAGTAACTTCCTGCCAGTTAGTTATGTATCGCATCACCAGCCCCGACTAGCCCATACTCCATAGCGTAGAGTGCTTAGCACCTGTTTACGCGTAAGAGCACAGCCGTCGCCGAGGAGCCACTGCCGACCAACCATAACGCACAGGGCTGGCGCTCGTGCACGTGTAGGAGTGAGATCGAGAACATGGCTTTTTTTTGGTAACGCAAGTGAGAACATGACTAGTCGGTGAGTTGATGAAGAATATCTTAAATATATTGCAAACATTAAGTTTTCTTTTGGAGATGTATTTATATTTAATATAAACTGTCCCGAGCCGTTAGTTTGTTGGTTGAGCCCCCCAGCCCTGGCTATCCCACACGCCATGGCATAAAGAGCTTAGCTCGTGTGCACGCTTAGGAATATAGGCATCACCGAGGAGCCATCGGCGACGATCCATAACGTAGAGGACAGACGCTCGTGCACGTGTAAGAAGAAGCCAGAGACATGGCCGTCTCTGGAGAGCACAAGCGTAAACGTGGCTGTTCGAGGAGCCGTTGAGGTGAAAGCGTATGTCATCTTTAAGATTGTACACATGGAAAAAAGTTGTTTGGAGAATAATCATGTAGAGAATAGTATGAAGAAACATCATGGCAAAAACTTTATTAAATATTCATATATAAAAAGGTACTTATCTTTAGACATAACGTCTGGTCGGCGGCGATGAAATTGCCGGCCCTCGAGCTTTCTGGCATGTCATCATCGCAGCGGTCGCGGTCGTTGTAATGTTGTTCTTCGTGGCGATCATTACGACGCGGCAGGCGATCGGAACAAGTAGTCCGGTCGGCTCGCTTAGTGGCTCACTTGACGGCTCGGACGGTTCGTTTGATGGCTCACTTAGCGGCTTGTTTGATGGCTCGAGCGGTTCGCTTAACGGCTCGCTCGTGGCTCGCTATTGCGAAAGCTATTGTATCTGGCTCCGATCTCCCTTGGTGCTTGTTTGTACTCGGGTCGGAGAAAAAACAGACGAGCAGTATCAAGTCTGAACACGAGCTTGCCTTATGCAAACATGTCTGAGTGCACATGTTCACATCTCGTAGCTTGCACGTCTTCTTAGTATGTACGTGCTGGTTGTTTGTAGCAAGAGCATCTCCAAGAGTTTGCCAAATCCACTTGCTATTCTTCTTTTTTTTGGCAAAACTAGAAAATTGACCCTCCAACAGTTTGGCAAATGACTTGGCATCTTTTGGCAACTTGGCATCGAGCAGCACCGCACGCGCATATTTGCGCGCGGCCAAGTCACTTGCCATTGCGATTTCGGCCTCCGCCGCCTCCTCTCCCGCGCGCGCCAGGACACTTCATGTGCTCGTTCCCGTGCGACCCAGGACTCGTAGCGGCGATAAATCCCCGCGCGCCCTGGACTCCCAGCGATCAGACGAGGAGTCGGTCCTAGATGAGGAGTCACGCAGTCGCCGCGCGCCGGCCTGGCAAAGAAGCTTCGACAGCTGCTGCGTGGTGTAGGTATGTTCTTCCTCGACCTAGGGTTATTATTTGGTGGTGATAGCTAGAGACAGTGCCCTTGATCTGAGAGTCAAGGTAGGGTTCATATTATATTGTTTATGTACTATGCCATCAACTATAGTGTTTCTGTGAACTTGCACAGCTTCCTGTCATATCACAACTTTTGATGATCAAGGCATTGTGTTTCTGTGAACTTGCACAGCTACCTGTCATAGTGTCATGTGAAGTACTAGTAGCGTTATTTTCATTTGTACACAGTTTTCAATCAACAGATGTACCTATGCACTATTTTATTGCCATAGTGTTAAAAACAAATCACCATGTTTGTCATCAATAGTATTATGAAATTACTGTGTTTATTACTTCATTAACCGTGTGGGTCATCAATTTTTTTGTAGACTAGTCAAGATGGATGGAGAAGATGGAAATTTCTTGTCGGACATTCTTCTCAATGGAAGAAGATGGTACTGTTGCTGGTTTGGACGACATGAACTTTGGATTCACTCAAGACACTCGTACTCATGACGAAGTGCAAGCTAGCCATAATACAAAGGGAGCCAAGAGGACAAAGAATTTTCATTGGAAGGAAGACGAAGTTGTATGCTCGGGCTGGTTGAATGTTAGCAAAGATCCCATTAATGGTGCCAATCAATCTTGTTCAACTTTTGGGGAAGAGTTCATGCTTACTTTGAGAAGCACCGAAAAACTACAGGTGAGAGGACAGAGAGAGTTCCATTTTGCATAGGTGGCTAACAATTCAGTTTCAAGTGAACAAGTTTTGTTCAGCCTATGAGGCCATTCTACGTAGGAATCAAAGTGGGTTAACTATCAAAGACAAGGTATGTAACATGTGTTGTTTTTACTTTAACTTTGATTATTTGTAAATGATATATAAACCCGACAATTTCCTGTCTGATTAACGAAGCAAAAAAGTTGTATGTGGAATTAGACAAGGACAAAAAACTTTTGGTCTTCTACATTGTCGGACCATATTGAAGGAGGAAGACAAGTGGAAAGTGAAGATGATAGAACTTGCTGAGCTGGAGAAAGAGAAACAAGCAATCAAGAAAAAACAGAAGGTGTCCAGGCCGAGGGAGGAAGAAGCCACTAATAATGATCAAGTCGTAGAAGTTGATGCTGAAGAAACTATACTAAGGAAAAGGCCAGAAGGGATAAAGAAGGCAAAAGAAAATTTGAGGCGTGGAGGTGGCGAGGCTTGCATGGAAGCTTTGGACAAGATGATGGCAAAGAAGGAGGTCTTGGACATGGAAAAGGAGAAGGCCAAAGAGGAGAGGTTCATGGCTACACTAGAGCTAGAGAAGGCTACACTAGAGCTAGAGAAGAAGATGGTGGCAAATGAAGAAAAAAAAGCAGAAGCGAAGCTACTCAAAGAGGAAAAAGAAATTATGTTAGTGGACATGTCCTCCCTCAACCCGATCCAGCGTGAATGGCTTGAGACGATGCAGAAGAAGATTGTCGAGAGGCAGCATGAAAATTAAGTTTAGTTATTATATAAGTTTAGTTATGAAACCTTTAGTTCAAGGTCTTGTTATATGAGTTGTTCGACAGGTGCTAATATAAATCAGGATGATGGTTCCACAGGTGCTCGATGAGGTCTTCTTTCAACTGCAAATGAGTTTCCTTGTCTCTGATCCTTCTGTGCGCATCAATGTATTCATCAAGTGTACGAGTAGGTTGGCCATGAGCAGGTTCTACATTTTCACCACCATAATCAAAACGCTCGTTAGGGTCAACCACAAATCCTTCATCTTCCACAATCATGTTGTGCATGATCACACAAGCCCTCATGATCTTTGATAATGTCTGTATGTCCCAAATGCGAGCTGGCCCTCAAACAATGGCAAACCTAGATTGAAGAACCCCAAAAGCTCTCTCGACCATCTTCCTCGCTGTTTCCTGCGCTCTGGCAAAATATTGGCTCTTGTTCCCCATAGGAAGAGTGATCGACTTGACTAAAGTAGCCCATGTGGGGTATATGCCATCTGCAAGATAATAGCCCATTGTGTAATCATGGCCATTAACCAAAAAGTTCACTTCTAGAGCTCTACCTTCTGCCAAGTTATCAAACAAAGGAGACCTATGAAGAACATTGATGTCATTGTGAGACCCGGGCATTCCAAAGAAGGCATGCCATATCCAAAGGTCGTTCGAGGCAACAACCTCCAAAATGATAGTGGGCTTCTCCATGTGCCCCTTGTACTGACCCTGTTTTTCGTATGGACAGTTCTTCCACGCCCAATGCATACAATCTATGGACCCTAACATTCCTGGAAAGCCTTTTTGCTCACCGATTGCAAGTAAGCGTGTTGTGTCCGCCTCATTGGGATATCTGAGGTACTCTTCTCCAAACAGTTCATCAACTACATCAACAAACCTCCATAGGCTCTCAAGTGCAGTACTTTCGCCAATGCGAATGTACTCATCTGTCGCATCCGCAGGAACCCCATAGCTAAGCATACGTATTGCGGCAGTGATTTTTTGGAAGCAACTCAAACCAAGTACATTGGCCATGTTCCTTTTCTGCACAAAGTAATCATCATGTCCTTCAACAACTTTCATTATGCGTAAGAAAAACTCCCTACACATCCTGTACCTGAACAAAACAAAACTAAAGTTTAACAACTCGACTAATATTTAAACACAGACAACAAGTCAATCTGAAGTGAAAGAACAGTAACCTTCGACGGAATATTTCAGGGCCATATGTTGGATTTACGGCCAAATAATCTTGAAACATCCTCTCGTGGCCACCTTCTCTATCACGGTAAAGAACTCTGTGACCTAGGACAGAGCCACCGTGTTTTTTTCGCATTGGCAACGGTGTCCACAGTTACAGCAGCCGCTAATATCTCAAAATCATCATCATCGGATGATGAATCATCCAACTGTCTTCGAAGAAGGGATCTCTTCCTAGGCATTGTTCTTGACCGACAAATGTTCTAGAATATGAATAACCTAGATCACCTGGAGGCGGATGGGACCTTTCCTCAGTACATTGCAAGAAACAGAAGCATATAGGTGTTGCAATACAATATCGACAAACTAAATCTGAAGATATGAATATCGATGATGGCCACCACTACAATATCGAGAAACAGAAAGAGACTTCGGCAAAACTATGAGCTACTGAACCGATGGGGAAGATCACCTTGAGGTCTTGGAGGAGATGGGCACCTAGCTTGGTGGATGATGCAGCGATGTTGGGTGCCTAGCTCGATGTAGGAGATCGATGATGGCCACCAACGATGACGCAGCGCGGCGGAGGAAGAGATGTCAGTCCGTGGAGGTGGCGCCCTTCACGCCCGCACGGAGTAGGTCGCGTGGCCAGGTGAGGAGTCGCGGCGCATGGCCAGGCGAGGAGTCACGGTGAAAAACAGTTGATCCGGTTTGCAAGTGGGCCTACTTTTTTAATTTTGTCAAGCCCAAATGGCAAAACTATTGGAGATACTATCTTTTTTCACTTGCCATATGTTTTAGGCACTTGCCAAATCACAAGATTTGCCAAGTCAATTTTGGCAAACTCTTGTAGATGCTCTAAGGCTCTTGATAATTAGCTTTCTTGCTTGGCATCTTCTTGCATGGTACTGGTTGGATCCAACTCCGCCCGATGCGGACAGCACAGCAGATCCATAGCCGATCATCCTTGACGTAGCGCCTTCGGCTTGTGGAACGCCTTGAGAGCGTCAACCGTGTAGGAGTGCGAGTTGTGGGTGAACATTATGTCCTCGTCCTCGTCTCTGCTTCCGATCTTCGTGGGCTACCACTACGTAAAAAATGGTTTGTAGCAACGGGACAAATTTTTTTGAGGGACGGCTGGTGATGGAGCCGCCCCTACAGTGGCGTGCTCAGGATCCACGAGACCAGCCGCCCCTACAAATGGAACAGTAGTGGCAGCTGGTGATACGAGCCACCCCTACAAATGGGTAGGATTTGTAGGGGCGGCTCACTCACCAGCCGCCACCGGTGTTGCTATTTATAGGGGCGACTGGTGATTGAGCCGCCCCTACGAATGCCCCACGTATAAATATCTAGGATTTGTAGGGGCGGCTCAATCACCAGCCGCCCCTATAAATGTCCACAGTATAAATGGCTGCAGCCCCCTTCTTTCTCCTCGGGTCACTCACTCCAACCCGTGAAATAAAGGTGGGGAGGCCTTGGGCACCTCCCAAAAATTGCTCTACTAAGGGGGAAGGTTTTGGTCTCAAATTCTTTGATGGAGAGGTTGTAGAAGGTAAGAAAATGCTATTCCATACTTTTTTGAAGCTTTAATGGTTGGTTAGTGAGTAATTAGAGTTTTATTTTTCTCTCTCTTCTATGGTGCTTGAGCTACTTATGAAGCAAATTAGACCTAAGTTTTGAATGTACTAGGGTAAATTAGGTAGGGGAACAAGATCATACCCTTATTTGGTCCATGTTTCTTGATTTTAGTGAACAATTAGTTAGTTTTATGAATGTTTCATGTGCATGTACATCTAGATCTAGGGTTTGGTTTTTTATTAATTTTGTTTTTGTAAATTTATGTTTGATGAAATTGGACTAGGGTTTGCATAAAAGATATTGGGTAAAATATAATTGTTGCTAATTGTTGTCTTTGAAATTGTTTATTGTAATCAACAAATGTGTATTTTAATTATTTATGGATAAATGGGCCATTAATTAATTTCCCTCTACCATGGTGTGTTTGTATGCTTCATGTAATTATATTTGATTTATATTCATATATATCTAAAGTATATACAATTATTCTTAAGTAATTATTAATTTGATTCATTTTTATATATATCTGAATAAGTAGTCCTTTAATGTTTGTTTTGTTGTTGTTGTAAAAGATGAAGTATAGAAACTCTTAGTTGTATGGTTCGTTAAGGTTCAAGGTAGGTTTCTGTGAAGAGGTGGATAAATTTATTGAAGTCACAAAGAAGCATGTAATGACGTTGACAGAGAATAAGGATACAATTATTTGTCCCTGTAAAGATTGCAAGAACCATATGACATGGACAGATGTGACTATCATCAGATCACATTTGATTATGTGAGGATTTGTTGAGGACTACATAGTGTGGATTCATCATGGTGAAATGGTTATTGTTAACGACAAGGATGAGGAGGAATACGACGACGAAACCTTAGAATCCCTGTCCCAATATTCAGCAGAGCTTGATGCACGAATGAATTCCGAGTTTGGCAATGAACAAGGTGGTGATGCTGGTGGTTGGGATGGTAACAACGAAGGTGGTGCCAATAATGATGGTGGAGCACGTGTCGGGGATAAAGATGATTTGGAGGACATGATTGGACCCCTTAGACCAAAGATTTTACAAAAGAGTCCGAAAGGTCTAAAAAATTTGGAAAGGGTAACAAAAGCTTCGAAGGAGACTGTGTATGGTGTTGAAAAGAGCTGTCCGACACATTGGACATTGCTACATTTTGTGCTTGAGCTACTCATCCTGAAGACTAAGTACGGCTGGTCAGACTATAGTTTCAATGATCTATCGCATCTCCTGTCATGGGTGCTGCCACAACCAAACTCAGTTCCTGCCAACACATACCAAACAAAGAAGGGGTTGAAAAAAATCCATGCATGCCCCAACCACTGTATACTTTTTCGTGGCAAAACGTTCAAGTCACTGGATAAATGTCCCCGGTGTGGGGCTAGCCGGTACAAGAACAATGACCTTTACGGTGGGGACGAAGCCTCCATAGGGAAAAAGAGGAATAAGAAGGGTACAAAAAAGGTGGTACAAGAATATCAGCCCCAGATGACACTCCATTAGGCAACGATGCAAAGCATAGAAGAATTCATGCCTTGGTAATGTGGTACCTGTCAGTGACCGACCGCTTGAGACGTATCTTCCTAAACCCTAAAGAAGTCGCACTCATGACATGGTGGGATGATGAGCGCAAGGTGGATGATGATAAGATTGCACACCCGGCTGATTGTAGTCAGTGGCAAAGGATCGATGAGAAGCACAAATAATTCAGCGATGACCCAAGGAATGTATGGTTTGGCTTGAGCACCGATGAAATGAATCCCTTCAATGAGACGATGAGCAACCACAACGCTTGGCCAGTGATCTTGACCATGTACAACATCCCAACGTGGTTGTGTTAGAAGAGAAAGTACCTTCTCCTCACTATTCTTATTTCTGGCCCTAAACAACCAGGCATTGATATAGACATGTTCCTTGAGCCTTTGATGCAAGAAATGGAGAGGCTATGGAGGCATGGGGAGCCGATGTACGATGCATTCCAAAAGGAGGACTTCATATGTAGAGCAATAATATTTGTTACTACCAATGATTACCCCACGCTGTTTGCTTTGTCTGAACAGATCAAAGAGAAGACGGGATGCTTGGTTTGCTTGGATGGTACTACGTGGGTGTTCCTGGATGCATCAAAGAAGATAATTTACCTAAGGAACCGACGCTTCTTAAAGACAAGTCACAAGTACCGTAACAAATTATTCTTTAGATTTTAT